TGGACTCAGAATGAGCAAGGAGAAAACACCTGATGTCAAACACAACCAAATACGTAAATTGTGGAATATGACCAAATAACAGAAAAATGAAAAAATCTTGAAAAAAGCAAAAATTAAAATACAGTTTCCTTTAATATTTTAAAACATTAAATATCATACTTTTTAACTTCACTTTAGAAAAGCACAGATCACCATAGTAACTAGTATTAAATGGATTCTACCTTCTATCAGGAAAAATAAGGGGTTTTTATTAAACTTCCAGCAACTGGAATCTCCCTGGGTTGTTTTTGTTTGTTTGGGGTGTGCGTGTGTGTGTGTGTGTGTGATAAATAATGTTCTAATAAAGTGAATTTGTTATGTGATTGCTGTCAATTTTTCCCATACCCAAAAGCAGAGCTCTGAGAGGAAACAGATTTACTTTGCTATCAGCAAATAAAGCTGCAGTGATATCAATAGAATGGTGAATTTGACTCATAACCCAGTATATGTTAAACTGCTTTTCCATCTGGTAAGAGGAATTATACCATTCTGTGGAGGGGAATTATACAGAACAGGACAGCTGGATATTTTTAAATCTTATTCTTATGTAAATCAGACTATCAATAAGTGCTTATTATTTATGCACAGATCCTTACATTATTAAATAGCTTTTAAAAGCTTGCATAGAGTGAAGATTTTACCAAAGAAACAAGGTATATTTTTATAAATAAAATAGTATTTCTTTCAACTCTTCAGAAGAAATAACGGTATGACTAAGAAATGAACAGTCTGAATATTTATCAGAATTAAAACGAGCAAAACATTACTTTTTCATTCCAGAATACCTTGGCTCTATACATTTTCTACTCTTAAATCTGTCCTTCTTACAACTACATAAAATATACTATGAAATAAGATATTAAAAATAAGGACACACAGCCCCCGATATTTTATTTCCACCCAGCAGTTCTTCATTATGGAAGTCTTGAACCCAGTTTTTGCCCAGTTCTTACATGGTTTTTTGGTAGTTATGTTTTGTGGTTTGTTTTGTCTGTTTGGGTTTTGTGGGTTTGTGGTTGGGGTTTTTTGTTGTTTGTTTTTTAACACACCACAGCAGACATTCACAACATTTTAATGTTTCCCATTTAGGTAACAGAATTAGTATTCTGATTTATGCCTGGGAACTTAGATACACTAAAATGATATCTAACCTGCTCATCATTCAAAGATACAATCTCAATACCACCAGGACAGGTCCAACAGCCTAAAATCTGCCACAGTGGAGAGTACTTCACAAGAGAGATTGATTTCCTTCCCCCGAAACTACAGCAATGGCCGTAACTGGGAAGTACAGTGCAATAAATGTTACAGTACATCCAGTAAAAACTGACAATTTGAAAAATTCACTATGAAACCTTATTTCCACCCAGCATTTGTAACCCTGTAACCTTTCCAGATGCTCATAAATTGTCCAGATTTACACAGATTTACCAGGGATGACAAAAGCTACAGTCACATCTCCAGGTGAAGGCTATGTCTTGGAAGAGCCCAGAAATAATGAAACTTCTCAAAGAATGATTTAACTACTCACTTAATTCTGTAGTTTTCATATTTTTCCTCCCTGCATCCAGTAAAAGTTCAAATTTTGATATTAAATAAGAGAACTTTGAAACATCCCCTTGTCATATTCCTTACATTTCCATAGGCCTATTTCTGAAAATTTATCTGTGTATATCATCCTGCATATGGATACACTGAAAAGTATGGAAATTTTAAAACCTTTGTAGACAAAATTCTATGAGGGAGTAAAATTAGCAGTTACCAAATTAAATATTACAGAAAATTAAGTAAAAGTACTTTAAAGTAATATTTTTTCACCTAAAAATATATTTTAAGTCAATATGATTTTCCTATTATTATCAATGGAACATTTTGTTATTAAAATTAAGGGGAGGGGGGAATCTAAGTTTTTTTATTTATATCTGATTTTATTGTTTTACAGTCCAGTTACTTTGAATAATCAAACCATTCTAATCAGTTCTACCTGAACGTTTTACCAACTGAAACTACCTACTTAAAGAAAACAAAAATATTTCTTTTTGGAAAAAAATGTTATCATGTGTCATTAAAAAAGCATTGTAAAATAGAATGTAAATGTATGCTCAAAGCTGCTTTAGAAGACTAATTTTGGTTTAAAATGCCACTGTGTTGCGTGCTTTCCAACAGCACAATTCAGAAATTAATATAACTGGGAGATGAGTATGCTAAAATAAATTATAAATAAATAAAAAATAAGAAAAAATAAAGATCCTCCATAAGAACACAAATAACTAGCTAATCTTAAGCTAGGAAGGAAGGAAGGAAGGAAGGAAAAAAAAAAAAAAAGAAAAAAGTGTTGTGGAGTTTCCTTGATTTCCTACAATCTCTGCCCCAAGGCATGGCATGTACTGCACATGACGACCAGATATAAAAGCTTCAGAGGAAGGGAGGGAGATAACGTACAACCCTGCAGCTATGACTTTCTAATCAATAGGATTCTTGACAGGAATATAAATCTAACTTTCGCACTGAACAGTTAGAGTTTGGAATTTTCACAGAAATCCTTATTTTAGAAATCACAGGGTTATAGGTTTGCTGCTGAGATCGCACAACAGCCTATCTAACGAGTGGCAAAAAAACCCCAATTCTTATCCAGAGCTATGGAGAACAGTATTCACACTTTGAATCAAGTTCCAGATGATTTATGAAGAATATAATAAAGTAATAAATACAAGTAAAGCATTTAGCTGATTTAAAATAATCCTTATCTTCTTGATAACTACTGTGTATGTAATTTGACAATATAATACTATACTTTCAAAACAGGTTTTGAGTGTAAGGGTAATTTTTACAGAGAAAATAGTTTTCCATTTTTTTAAACAACATACAAATGTGATCAAGTTTGCATTCTTCATATGAAGTTTACAAATGAGATGGCAGTACAGGACTGGATTCAGTCATACAGGATTGTATGTATGTAAAACTGGATTCAGTTTTACGTTCATCATCTCCTAATGTTCTAAGGGAAATAATTGAAAACAACATTTGACTGTAACTTCCGTACATGAATGGGTCACTCTCCCAAACCAAGCATCAGAGTAGAATGACAAATCCTAAGTGTATCATCTGATGACATGTACTAAAACTCTAAATCTGTGGTTATCAGCTTTCCTCAGGACCTCCAGTGATCTTAACAATGAGCCTCTAATACTGAAATTTTATCCTAGATAGTCTCCTCATACGGTCAAAGTGTCTGTTATTGGAACTGGTCTGCATGCACTCTCATAAACTAGATAGTCTACATAATTTTTTTTTTTAGTTTTTTGTTTTTTTTTTTTTTTTAAGAACAGAATTAGGAAAGACTTTAGAGCAAAAATACTATTTTTATATTAATATTGGTGTCTATGAACCCAACAGATGTGAAGTTCACAACCTGAAACATGATCACAGCCAAAACCAATTTGAAAATGGCTGCTCTGCAGAGTTTACTTCCTCCCAAAGAAACACCACAACTTGCCCTGGGTAAGTCCTTGGTCTGTGTAAGAATCTAGGAAGGGGCATGTATTACATGTGACCAAACCAGGGATTTACAAAACCAGGGATTTGCAATTTTAAGTTTACTCTGGAAAAGCCAAAATTCAAATCTCCATTTTGTGGAATTGCTATAACTCTTGACCAGGACAGGAAAATCCACCACCAAATCAACCTTTTCTCTTCTAGTTCTGTAAATGTGATAAAAGAACTGTTTATGGCAGCCATAAACTCAGGACAGCACACTGATATGGCTGAGTAACACGACCGACCGCATGAGACAAAAGTTCCAAATCAGAGTGGAGAAAATGATGATGAAATAGACACAAGACAAAGGGAAACAGCAAAAAAGGTATGTGAAATACAGACTGGGAACAGGTCTATAAAGGGTCCCTTAGGCTGAATGGTATTTCGGAGAGGACTGGAGTTAGGAGCAAAGAAACTGTTTCCTGTAGTTTGAGTGGTACCGTGTACTGAGGATTAGATTCCACCCCCTCACCCTCCATTCTTTATAAATAGGTAGAATGGCATCAACATATGTCTATAGCACACTGGTAATCAAACAATTTGTTAACATCTAGAATGGATTAATTGTTTGGACACAAAAAGAGGAAAAAATTTCTCAGTGAAGACAATTCAGCGTTTAAAGATATTATCCCTCTTCAGCATTTGTCATGATAAAAATTCATCATTTAGTCCTAATCTTGATTTCCCATCTCATCCTGAGTCTTCAGTTAGGTAGACAAGAAGTCCCAGAGGTACCACTGAAACAGTATACCTGCCAGCACAGTTCTTTCTCACAAATATACACATAGTCTCTGCATCAGATATTTTTGGTTCTTGACATTTACCAAGCAAAGCGTTAAGGGTAGGATTCAAGCCAGTTCATTAAGTGTATCAAACATGAATCTCCAAATCCAGTAAAAGAACAAGGCCTCGTGACAGACAGAACATAACCTTCCGGCATCTCTCCCTGCCAGAGAGGAATAAACTGTATTTATGCCTTTTCCCCAGTTCCAACCAACATTGCTAAGTCAATTTAGGGACCAAATACTATTTAAAATAACGATAATCATGAAAGGAATAAGGTTCCTATTGGATAATGCAATGTACAGGATAGAATGAACTGAAAGAAACTAAATACAAGTCTATTCATAGTTAACTTTAATGTGTTATTTCTCCTACTTGAGAAATTCCTCCAGTAGTTCCTTGTTCTTAGTCCTCCTATTTGTTATGCTCTATCTTAAGTTGATGTAAAGATGTAATTCTGTAACAAAAGACTAAGTAATATTGAAATTTCCTAAGAAAAGTAGGAAACACTAGATTCATCCCTGAAACGTTGTCAAGTCAATCACAAAATCCCAAATCCAAAAGCAAAACAGAACCAGAAAAGAGGTGATTATACCATAGGCATGAATTGCAATAGTTGCACTGCATTTAATTGTACTCACAGTTGACACTGGTCTCCTTTGATTCCCTTAGTTGTGCAGAAACATTTTCCTGTTTGCATGTGACAAATATTTGCGTGTCCACTGCACGTGCAAGCTATAAAATCAAAAAGGAAAAGTGAGATTTCTTCACCCATATTTTACTTTGTAACTAAAGGAATTTTCATGGATTTTAATACTTCGTCCTAAACAAATTTCCTACAAGTTGTATTAAAAAAAACCCCAACAAACCTACTTCAATTATAAGCTTCTTGAACATTTCACTAGCACTTCATTTAGTTTATTTTCTATAGAGTTAGGAACCGTGCATATGTCATTAGGGGCTCTCCTCCATACCTTAAATGAAGCAGTTTGAAAATAGCCATTAACGTCTACCATTTCAATGCACAATACAGAAAATTATTAACAATATTTCTTTTCTATACAAGGTGAAACCCTGGCCAATGGCAAAAGCAAAATTCCATTAGTTTCAAATGTCTAATTAAAGAAAGTATTATTGCAAATGTTTGGTAAAATGTCTAATATAATTGGAACTCCTGCTTTTGAAAAAAAAAACAAAAAGAAAGCTTTGAAGCCATTTGAACAAAGACAGAGTTAATACTACAATTATGGTCCACAACAGGAATATTCCAGAAGCGAAAACCAGGCACCTTTGAAAGCTCCTGAATTTTGAATTGAGGAGAATCACAGAAACATCATGTCTCCCTCCACTCCTTTGTAAACTCAGTGGCTAAAGTAAAGGCCTCCACATTGGTCTGCTCGCTGCCATTCTTGCTGCCTGATTGATTCTCACCTCAAACGAAACCTTCACATTCCCAATTCTTCAGCTTTCTTTTTGCTTTCCTTTCCCATGTTTATACAAACGACTATCTTGTTTAGGCAGCCCTCCCTCTTTTCCAACCAAGCGTACAAAACTTAATAACCTCCCTCTGGTAAATGTGTCAATAAGTTCCCACATCATACCGGAATAATTACTTGCTAATATTCACACTACATTTGAAGTCTTTCTTTAATACAAAGTAACTCTGAACCTACCTTGATGATCATATTATGCTTTCACTGAAGTTTTAATTACAACTAAGATAAAAGATTTAATATGTGGGCTCCTGCTTGGGAACAGATACAATACTAAGTGGGGAGCTGTATATAATAAAAGTTTATTTTCCACTTTATAATGCTGATATTGAATTTCTATCAGAGTGACTGAGTTTTAATGCTCTTACTCTACTGATAAGGAATAACACACAATGAAGATTTCTGTGACAGTGTCCCATACCGTGCACACTCTAACCTCCTGCCCCAGCTTAAGACAAATAGGGAAAAAGGTAATATAACATAGAACCTCAATTAAACATAAGATATTATTAACAGAATATTTCCTTGTCAAGAATTCTATGGTTTGTTCAGCTTTCAGAACTTGTTAAATAGCTGGCTGAAGCCAAAGGAGCAATTCTTACTAAAGAGGTAACTAGAGATTCAGTGTCTGCAGGACACACATACCGGAAATTTCGGTGCAGCATATAGTGATGTGTGACGTTTTTCTCTCTTTCATAATACAGCTTGTAACAACATTTCTGAAAAACACCTTCAGTTACCATAGAGTGCTAAATTTTGTAATTGTCCTATGATCTCGATATATCTCTACAATAAATTTTCATTGAAGTGCTGCTACTATATAATCAGTTATGTTTCCCTAAATCCATTCAGGTTTTCCCCTCTACATTTATGGAATGATTATTTAGGCACTTTAAGCTGGAAAAGCCTCTTCTCAAAAGTTAATTTCAATCATGTAAATCTTTGCTATACTTTGAATAAAAAAACAAAGGAATATATTCTTAATACCTTACTCTGCTTATGGTTAATTGATCTTTATAGTGATGCACCATTACAAGACAGTACAAAAGTTATAAAGGACCTAAAAGGCTGAATTGCAAATCAGATTCTAAAAACTGTCAATATATTGACAAACACAGAAGATATTGCCAACCAACCTTAATTGATTACTCCCATAGTTATTGTTCACTTAATAGGAAGTAGATCACAAATGTGAAAGCAGAACTTGCTTTACTTGAGTAGCTTTTATTTAGTAAGTTATAAAAGCCTTTGGACACTATGCATCTTTATTGCCTTCTTGGGAAAAAAAAAAAAAAAAAGGAGGGGTAAAATGGATTATACAGTAAAAGTAACAGATGTAGCTATATGAGACTTTGTGGATGGGCAAAACCATTTCCTTTGGCAGCTCAGACATAACTTGTATACCCAGTCCATGGAATTACCGATAAATCAAACTTTTCAGCACTATTTATCCCCAGGAACATCTAAATCAAATCAGCACCTATATAGTGCACTTTAGCGTGCTATGTGCTCACTCACACAGCAATCCAGAGACGAATGTCTCTCCAATCAGCCAGGTATCGCCTTTCATTTAAACTGCACTATGTTTTAGTCGCTGCACTCTGTCTTTGGAGTTTCCTGGATTTATACTGGAGAATCATTAAATAACATAAACATCTGACGGAATTTATTTTCCTATGGACTCATGTCTAAATGTTAACCTATGTGTATTCATAGCACACAGAAACAGAGGACACATTCGTAGTTTGGTTTCTCTCACCAAAAACACCAACATGGCTTCTCTACCTCACCTGCATTTTCATGACACAAATGAAGCTTCTATAGTGCTAAGATCAGTATGGCTGGAAAAGGAGAAGAAAGGAGGAGTTCAGAAGATTCAGAATGTTGTATTCTGGATTCCTCGTCATTGAAAAAGCTAGTTCTGACAAGCCCAGCAGCTAATTTTCTTCTATTAAAAGATGAAGAGAAATTACTCTTATTGATCAAGTTGCTAGTAATTTAACTGTTCCCTGGACAATACCTTGAAAAAGGACATCAGGAGCTAATCACATTTACCCTGTTTTAAAAATCTCATCTGGACAAATTTTATTTAACAGCAGTGAATGCATATTTTAATTAATCTCAGGTTTGCAAGTCTGTGATGAAAAATGGATTCCTACCAATCTGTGGACCTCTATGTGGGGATTTACTCAAAAAACAAAATACATGTAAGCCATCCCTGGTGTTACTGAAGCAAATGTGAATATATGTTATCAAAAAAATGCAACAGCAGAAGCAGGATGATATTATAGTATATTCAATGGAAAAAAATTTTAGATGCCATTATCTTTGTGCCTCACTGCAGGTTTTTTGCATTGGTCTACTTCTGAATAATACAAAATAAATTATGAGCTTTGAATATGAAATATGATTACTAATTAAGAAACTGCAACCTAAAGGTATATTTTATTTCAAAGTAACAGAATATTTACATTCTTCCATTAAATCAATATTTCCATACTCTTTTTTCCATATTTTCTTCAATATTTTCTACCCTTTTTTCTCTGCTTAACCATTCTCAGTGAATGGTTTCTATTCTGATACTACTGTAAGTCAACATTAAAACCGTAGCTACCGGAGTATCTTTTGCAGTCTAATGCTAATAGAAAATATGACAAATCTTGGAATCAGTTGTAGAAGCATATTTTGTACCAATCATTCTCAGCTGGTACAAGTCAGCACAAGAGATGCAATTTATATTTTCCACATCTTTGGGAGGTCTCACCCCTCTCCACCCTCATGCATTTGTTTTCAAGGATCGAGGCTTAAGTTCCAGTAGCAACAGCTGCAACTAAAGCCTGTATTAAGTAATATTTTTTTTCTTCCAAAAAAGGACAGTTATCTTTAATGTTGATCTAAAGAAATGCTTAAATTGATTTTTCTTTGTAAGAACTCCCTAAAGCTGAAGGAAAAGGAGAGTGTAAGTGTCGTGTCCCACCCTCCATGTACTTAATAAAAGGTTTAAGAGTTTGAGTAGAACTACATGGTGGTAAGCAGAGATTTCTGATTGAAAATCCCAGGCTCAGACTACTTAATGCTAGATGGTGGGAGGATCGCATTATCGCTTTTGATTTTCTGGGCCTGCCTGCTCTGTCTTAATTAACATATCTGAGACACTGTCAAGGAAGTTCTACAACATCGTATTTTCTGTGGCTGTCTATGAAGTTAGCTAAGCCATCCCACGGAGATGCTCAGTCAATAACGACAGTTTCAGCTTCTGCCACACTCCAGCATTTTACCAAGTTTCAGCATCTTTTACCTGCTTTCCTTTCCACCATGTAGTTCCCACGTCCTTCAGTGTGGATTTTTGATAGCCACCATTCTTTCACACGTCTGGTTAGGCACAGTGTGAATCTTTTGCATTGTCACATCTCACAAGTGATGTTAGCTTGACAGCAACACATTCTCTATCATGATTATGCTTGAAATAATGTCCAATTCTTAACATCAATTATTTTATTTGAGACACTGGCAGTGGCCTTAAAATTAGAGGATGAAGCACAGCTATACAGATTTGCTGGGGTAAGAGAAATTAAATTTAAGCAGAAACAATCTTTACACTTTTGGATAAAGATATTGCATCCCTAACAGAAATAGAAACAAATTTAAATATAACACTTATAAGCCCAATAGGAAAACATTCTCTAAACTTTTTTTCCCCTTATTTAAAATATACTCTGTTTTAAAAGAAATCTAGACTCAACTTTTGGCCCTAATCTCAAAAAAACCCCACACCAGCAACACAGAAAACTAGCCTCAGCAATGCCATTATACCTTTTCCTGAGTACGGCCATATTAACAGTATTACACAACTGTTAGATAAGAGACATGATTATCTACAGGGTACATCAGATTCAGATTCTACTCCTTTACAACATATTCCACCACTCACAGCTGCATCATACTCAGACACTTTCAGGAGGTTACGATGACGCTAATCCTCTCTCAAATCTTCCCTGACAGTCATCAATGCAGACAATAGCTTGAAATCCTGCTTTATAGCAAGTTTAATATACAATAACATTCTAATAGTCTTATTAAAGTCTGTTCACATTCTCTATTTCCTCCTAATTTAAGTGCTCATATTCAGTATTCAAATTCAGAAATGAATTTCTGGTTAAAATGAAATACAGCATTTTATTCTCTTAAAAAAAAAAACCAACTTCATCCCGAAACACTACTGACATTAAATAATAACAGTAA